TATATATATATATATATATATAATGCCATGTACTTAGTAATAAACATAAGAATACAAGTATTAATATATAATACTTAAGAATGCAATTATATGTTTGTAAGCCTTCTCCATATTTTATAATTTATTCTCTGTCAATAAAAATAATAATATATATGGTTATATTAATTATTGAATTTTCTCTTTTGTCGTTTGAAGTTCAACAGCTGTAGGATAATTTCTTAAGTATTGTATGGCATGGCATTTTTGTTCTTTTCATGATTACAAAAGGGTGGATATAAGTGATAAGGAGAATGATTTGGGTCCATTATGATGCATAAAAAGATTGTTTATTCTGTATTTTTAGGTCAATATTAGATGACATGCACTTGGGAGTCTCGCATTTAGTATATTAATACAAGGATTTCTTTCAACAAATAGTATATATATATATATATATATATTGTATATTCAACATATGCTTATTTTATAGCAAAATTAAAGTTATTTAACTGATCGGAAATAATTAAAAGGATTTATTTAAATAAAAATTGTAAATTAAATACAGGCTAAAAATAGTTAAATTTAATGTTTCAAAGGTAATTAACATTTTGATAGTATGCTTCATGTTTTAATTGCAAAAAAAAGGAAAGTTTTAATATCAAAATAAGGAAACTACCTCAACAATAAAGTCAAGCACCAGTAATAAAGACGAGATCAAGAGTATTTTTATCACTCGAGCAAATTTAGATCTCAAAGTGTATATAAGGAAAACTTAGCTAGATTAAGCAAAAACTCGACTAATGATCGACTTGTTTGTCCCCTATATGTTATTATTTTATTTTTGAGTGACACCAAAAATAATAGATAAGATATTTTTACTGTACCAACAATTTTCTTTTACAATCTAACCTATCTTTTAGAGGCCTTTCTATGTATGCTTCTCCCTCAACATCAAAGAAAGTGTTTTTGAAAGGGATTTGTTATCTCAACCTTTATTAACTTCAGGATAATATAGTGACTAGAACGACTGTTATTTCTGATGATTCTTCTAATGTCATTTCATTGAGTCATATGCGGCTAGCTCATGTTGGAGAGGTTCTACTCTAGGCTTTGTTGAAATAAGAATTGATCAAATGAGCGATTATATGCAAGGTTGATTTTTTAGAACATTGTGTATTTGAAAAGAAGACACAAGTATGTTTTGCTATTGCCATCCACATTGTTTGGGCCCCGTCAAAGACAACATCATTCAGCAGGCGGAGATACTTTCTCTTTTATTGATGAATACTCTAAGTATGTTTGGGTGTCTACCATGAAACGCAAAAGCGAGGAGTTGAAAATTTTCATAACTTTGAGAAAGTGAATGGAGGCTCAAATAAGTAAAAATATTATGCGTATCACATTAGATAATGGGGGCAAATACACTTTGAATGTATTCTTGCAAAAGTGTCAAAGAGATGGGATAGAACACCACTCCAATTTTCAAGAGGCGTCATAGCAGAACGAGGTGGCAGATAGGATGAATCAAACTTTGGTGGAGAATATTCAGTTTATGTTATCTGTTTCTGCGTTGGATTGAGTCTAGTTGGCTGAAGTCATAGACTATGTCTGTCACTTGGTGAACTATCAACCTTCTACAGCTATTGGGAAGAAGACGCCAAAAGGGATGTGGTTAGGGCGTCATGCTAGAAATTATGTGCAGATGAGATTGTTTGGGTGTCTATTTTACTACCATGTGCAGAATGATAAATTGGAACCATGAGCAAAGAAGACGATCTTCATTGGCTTTAGGTGTGGAGTCCGAGCTTCAAGTTATATGATTAGTCAGAAGGGAAGGCTGTCATTTGTAGGGATGTTACATTCAATTAAACAAGCTTATTGAAATTACCAAATTCAGTTGCAACTTATAAGGTATATGTTGATAGTGCTCAAGAGAAGGTGCAAAAAGATGTTGAGGATAAGATTCCTACTCAGGAATCCATTGCTATAGGCAAAACCAGGCGACAAAATTTCCCAAAACATGTCCAGATAAGGGATCACATTACATTTGCACTTTTAGTCACAGATGCAAAAACCACTTGTCATTACAAAGAAGTGGTGGAGTGCCTGGATTGTGATCTTTGGAGAGTGTCAATGGATGAAGCGATGGAGTCTCTTCTTTCGAAAGCAGTTGGATGTCGGTAAAGCTTCCTCTAGGAAGGAAAGCCATCAGGTGCAAATGGGTGTATGCAAGGAGTGAAGGATCTCATGGAGCTAATGTGCGATACAAGAAAAGATTAGAGGAAAAATACTTTGTATAATGAGAAGGGATTGATTATGATGATGTGCTCTCCCTAGTGGTCAAGCCTCCCTCAATACGTGTTCTCTTAGCACTTGTAGCACATTATGGCCTGATATTGGAACAACTCAATGTGAAGATTGCATTCTTATATGGAGAATTGCAAGAGGAGATCTACATGTTGCGGCCTCCCGGATATGAAACATCAAAATATTTGGTTAGTAAATTAAATAAGTATTTGTATGGGTTGAAGCAGTCACCATGATAGTGGTATAAAAAGATTGATCAGTTAATGAGGGGACACAAGTACATAAGAAGTAGTATGATCATTATGAATGTTTCAATAAATTGGTCAATGGTTATTTATTTTTATATGTTGATGATAAGTTGATTGCATCTGCTAGTCATATTGAGATTGATGGAATGAAAATTAATTGTCCCAATATTTCTAAATGAAGGAGTTGGTTGAAGCTCGTTGAATTCTCAACATAGAGATTCTTACGGACAAGACAACTTGAAAGGTTAGACATTCGCAAGGAGGTTATGTTCATAAGGTTCTTGAGACTTAGTCATTGCATCTAACTTTTGGTTGAGTTCAGATTATTATTCCAGAGATGATTAGAAAAGGAAAGATATGCGATCAGTTCCTTATGCTAATGAAGTGGGTAGTCTGATGTATGTTATGGTTTGTACTATACCAGACATTGCTCTAACAATTGGTGTTGTGAGTTGGTTCATGCATGATCCAAGAAAGGAAACTTTGACAAGCTATGAAAAATATTTTAAGGTATCTAAAAGGTGCATTTGATGTTGGTTTGGTGTTTGAGAGTTAGTCATCTATTGCAAATTTATGTTTACGCTATACTGACTTAGACTATGCAGGTGATATGGATAGGTGGAGATTTACAACTAGCTATTTATTCACCTTGGCTAGAGGTCCAATCTGTTGGAGATCGGTTCTTCAATTTATTGTTGCTTTGTTTACTACAGAGACTAAGTAAATGGTAGTCACGGAGGCAATAACTGAAGCAATATGGATACAATAATTATTTGATGATTTGGGAGTTGATCGAGAGTTTGTGACAGTGTTTGATGACATTCAAAGTGTATTATTCTTGGCCATAAATCCAGTTCATTGTGCTCATACCAAACATATTGATGTGAGATATTACTTAGTTTGGAATTTGATTAATGACAGTGAGGTTTTGTTGAAGAAGATAGATACGAAGGATAATGCGCTAGGCATGCTCATGAAGGTACTACCAGTCCAAAAGTTCACACATTGCAGGAGTTTGGTTAACATTTGAGCTCATAATTGATTGCCCAGTAGTGCATTTTGATGAACTACGATAGGGTTGATCCATTCGAGAGGGGGGCACGTAGACAACTATCTTGACGCAGCTGAATTGAAGTTTGAAGCTCATTTGGTCATCTCTCATTTATTTGGAAGAAAGAGTTAAGGATAAGACTATTGTATTCACTTTTTTTTGTAATTAGGGGTAATTTGGCATTTTGCTTTTATTTACTAGTATTCTCTAATCCTCATTTATAAAGGAGATTTAGTGTTTATGAGAGAGTATGTGAGAAGTACAGAAGTTGTAAATGCAAGCCATTTTTCTTTTCTTATCTGGTGCTAGTAAAATTTCCCTCCCCATGGACGTAGGTGAATTAACTTGATGCCATACCACATAAATCTTTTTTATTTGACTGTCGTTGTGTGAAATTTCTTCTTTTCTGCATTGCCTTCGTGTAACACATTCTTTGATGATGCAACAACAACAACAACAACAACAACAACAACAACAACAAGCATTTGTCCAAGAAGTGGGGTTGGCTACATGAATCATCTTTCTCCATCATGTTCTATTGAGTGCCATATTTTTATTTAATTCTAATAAATTATGATCATTTTTTATACAATATGCCCAAGTTTTTATAGGTTTACCTATTTTTTTATAGACATAATTCGAATCTAAAACATCTACTCTCCTAATCGGATCATCAGATGATCGGCGTTTAATGTGACCAGATCATCTAAGACGACCATCTCTAATTTTATCTGCCACTAGAGCTACACCAAATCTTTCACGAATAGATTCGTTTCACATTTTATCTTTTAAGTTTCAAGTCACTCATCCACTTAAGCTTTCTCATCTCAGCAATACTTAACTTTATTTTATGCTTTTCTTTTATATACTTTTTTTCGACGCATACTTTAATTTCTCAGAGTTGATGATCGATAAATTATCAAAATTATTATGTCTATTGATCGCTAGAGTATAAATTTGATGTTGAGATCTGGTTTATTCTTTAGTAATTTAATTCGACTTATTTTAATTCAATATGTCATAATTTATATCGCATTTTTTAATTTTTGATGGCTTATTTTCATATTAATAACAGTACCGTGTTGTTTTAAACACGATTGAATAATTTATTTATTTATCACTTCATCTTATTGCATCTTTGTATATATATGAAGTCCATGGGGCAATAATTTTGTGGGAGGATAAGTCAACTAAATGTTTCAGCCCCATAAAAAAATAATTAGCATAAAAAATAAATGAATTAACTGCAAGCAAATTGACATGAGAAAACAATCGGATTCTGATGAAA